TGCACTCCCGACACCGCAGCTGGTGTCACCCTGGTCCCCACTGCAGCTGCGGCCTCTCCCCGCCGCGACGAGGGGCTTCTTTGCATTTTAATTAATTTAATTTATTTTATTTTATTTAAATTAAATTTATTTTCCACTTTTCGATTTAAAAAGCCGCTTAACACGCTCGTTTACTCCCATTTCGTGGGGCCCCTGCGCTCCGCGGCGCAGCAGCTCCAGTGAACAGCAAAAGCCAGGAAAACTGATTAATAAATGCGAAAAAGAGATTTTAAAAGACACTTAATAGTTTTTTCATTTATATTTTGCAAATTAATCAAAAGAAAGGAAAAAACTTTCCAAGTTTTGTGTCTTTTCGACATAATGCACGTGATTTGAAGTGGCCATTTCAACACACTAGCTAGCTTAGCTAGCTGGGCCCAGCGAACCCAGCTAGCTGTTCTTTTGCTGCAAACAAACTCTCTAGGCAGTTTCCCCTGCAGCTAGCTGCACTCAGCGTGACAGCAGCTGAGTCCAGCTAGCTGCAGCTAGCTGCAGTTCTATCCAGCTAGCTGCAGATAGCTGCTGCAGAGAGCTGCAGCTAGCTACAGCGAAGAGCAGCCAGCTGCAGCTAGCTGCAGCTAGCTACAGCTGTCTGCAGCTAGCTGCTCACAGCTGCTGCAGAGAGCTGCAGCTACCTACAGCTAGCTACAGCTAGCTGCAGCTAGCTGCAGCTACCTATAGCTAGCTACAGCTAGCTGCAGCTAGCTGCAGCTAGCTGCACCTGTCTGCAGCTGCCTGCAGCTAGCTACAGCTAGCCGCAGCTAGCTGCAGTTGTCTGCAGCTAGCTACAGCTAGCTAGGACTTGAATCAGCTAGCTGCCGCTAGCAGGTTGGAGCTGTCCGCTGGCCGGGAATATATAGCTAGCTAGCCACAGCTACAGCTAGCTGCAGCTACTGCTAGCTGAAGCTAGCAATAGCTGCGGATAGCTGCAGTTTAAAACCCCAAACCCTAAACCCTAAACCCTAAACCCTAAACCCTACTTGTAACTGGCGACCTCGGCCCACTCACTCTAGTCTTCAGCTAGCCACAAGCAGCTGCAAATAGCATCAGCTAGCCACATCTGCTGCTGCAGCAGCAAGCCAGCTGCTGCTGCAGCAGCAAGCTAGCCGCTGCAGCAGCAAGCTAGCTGCTGCTGGGGAGCAGAACTGCTGCTGCGCGTTCGCATTGTGTATATACACCCGAATAGAAGCAAAACTAATTACCAAAAAATTTGAATTAAAAATTATTTTAAAAGTTCAATTTAAATCTACAAAAATCCCAGATAAGAACTGATCTTGAAAGACTCCTTTTCTGTTCTTGCTGCTGCTGCTGCTGCTGCTGCTGCTGCTGCTGTTGCTGTTGCTGCTGCTGTTGCTGCTACTGCTGCTTCGCTTGCACGTTGCATGCAGTGTATCTAAACCTCTTAAGTCGGAACAAAAGCACTTGAGAAATAAATGTATTTAGAAACAAATGCAAAACAAATTTAAATGCATTTAAAGATAAAACAAATGCAAAACAAATTTAAATGCACTTTAAAAATAAATGCATTTCTAAAACTGTCTTTTCTAAAAAGAACAAAAAAAAGAATGGCGCAGGTGTCTGTACACTGTACAACCCCAACAGCGCCACGCAGAGCAGCACAAGGGCCTCCTGCTGAGGCCCCCAGCAGCTGCTGCTGCTACCGTTGATGCTGCTGCTGCAGCTGCTGCTGCTGCAGCAGCAGCTGCTGCTGCAGGTAGAGAGCCAACTGGGCGTTCCCGCTGGCGCGAATGCATGCAGCAGCAGCTAAAAAGCCCCAAGTGCATGCAGCAGCAGCTAAAGCCCCAAGTGCATGCAGCAGCGTTCAAACTGGAAGCAAAAGAAGCATTAAGAAGCCAATTCGAAGTCAAGCTCTGCTGCTGATGTATGCTGCTGCTTCCCGCTGCAGCAGCTCTATCACAGCCCGCGCAAAGCCCCCAGGGTCCTCCAGGCTGTAGCCGCCCTGCAGCGAAGCCACGGAGAAGAGCTCCAGGGCCAGGCTTTTGGCCCGCGCACTTGTGGGGTCTGCCTTCACCTGCAGCAGCAGCAGCAGCAGCAGCAGCAGCAGCAGCAGCAGCAGCAGCAGCGCGGGAGGCGTATGAGTGGCGGAAACACAACAACCCCACCCCTGCTGCAGCCCCCGCGCTGTGGGCGGGAATAAGGGAGCGATATCAATAAATGAAAACAAATTATAAAAATATTTTTATAATTGAAATACATTTATGGACAAGTGCTCATTAAACATGCAGCAGCAGCAGCAGCAGCAGCAGCAGCGCGGGCACGCGTGCTGCTGCTGAACGCGATATGCATGCAGCAGCAGCAGCAGCAGAGGAAGCAAGATCAGTACACGTAAATATAAACACAAAAATAAAAGAAAAAAACAAATAATAAAAAATTAAATATTTAATTTCAATTCAATTAATTTCAAACAAAAAACCCCCCCACGGAAGTGCAGCAAAGCCCCCCAACAGCCCGGGCAAAGCCTACAGCCACGAGCAGCCGGGAAACAAAACAAAAACAAAAGTAAATCAAAATAAAATAAAATAAATAAATAAATAAAATAAATTAAAAGACTATAAATGGAATTAATTTAAATTCAAATAAAGAAAACCCAAACGGCTTCTCAGACTCTTCCTATTGAACGCACAGCGCCCGCAGCTGCTGCTGGGGCTCGCGCCTTCTCGGCTGCATCATCTAGCCGCGGGAACAAGCAGCAGCAGCAGCAGCAGCAGCAGCAGCAGCAGCAGCACGGGGAAGCATAAAGAGAAGAGCTGCTCAGCTTTCAAAAAGGAACACTCAAAGAGCCTCAAGAGGCCCTCGTCATCTACTATCCACCATCATCGCTCCCGCAGCAGCAGCAGCAGCAAACCTCCGCAGCAGCAGCAGCAAATCCGGCAGCAGCAGCAGCAAAGCTCCGCAGCCGCCGCAGCAAAGCGCCGCAGCAGCAGCAGCAAACCTCCGCTGCAGCAGCAAAGCCCCGCAGCCGCCGCAGCAAAGCGCCGCAGCAAACCTCTTCCACAGCAGCAGCAAACGTCCTCCGCAGCAGCAGCAAGTCCCGCAGCAGCAGCAGCAGCAAGTCCCGCAGCAGCAGCAGCAGCAGCAGTTGCGTACCATGGAGTCTAGCTGGCGAATGATGGTGTGGTCTGGGTTGATCTCGAGAACCGGTTGGTTCAAAGAAGTCCCAAAAAGCTGCTGCTCGGTGGCGCCTTGCGCAGCAGCTTGCTGCTGCATGTAGCGCTGCATGGTGGGCGACAGCCCCAGCTGCCCCTGGACCAGCACTGCGGGGTTTTGCACAAGACGCGAAGACAGGCACACGCTGTGGACTCGAGGGCCCAGCGTTTGCTGCAGCCACTCCACCAGCCTGCAGCAGCAGCAGCAGCAGCAGCGCAGCAGCAGCAGCGCAGCAGCAGGGCTTGGAAGCAGAAAAAACGGGAAAATCGCACCAAAAATACCCGCTGCTGCAGCTGCTGCGCAGCAGCAGCACCAGCGCAGCAGCAGCACAGCAAGTAAAAAGATGCTGCAAAGCCCGTTTTTTCACATATCACAATCCCAAATAAACTCCTTTAATCACTTTTTAATTTTATTTTTATTTTAATTTTATTTTTATTTATTTTCTTCTTTTATTTGCCGTTCTCAGATTTCCGGCGAAGATCGCAGCGGCGGCCTCGGCTCCCGCGTGGGTTCGGGTGTACGCGGGACAACGAGGAGCCTCAACTGACACGCGCCATTCATCCTCGGGAATTAAATTAAATTAATTAAATTAATTAAAATGAATTAATTAAATAAAATTAATTTAAATAAATTAAAGCAAACACAAAGAATACAGACAAGACACTGGCAGCAGCAGCAGCAAAAGCAGCAGAATGCGAGCTGCTGCTGCTGCAGCGCAGCAGTTAAATAAAGCCCAGGAAAAAGCAAATGCAGAAAAAGAAAAGAATTAAAAGAAATAATAAAACAAAAATAAAACAAATAAAACAAATAAAACAAAATGAGGGAAAATCTGCATTAATTGCAATTCAAAAGCTGCATGCATCCAAAAGTCACAAAAAGAAGAGACAAGAGTGGAATTCAAAAAGCAGCAGCAGCAGCACAAGCCAGCCCCGCAACAAAGAACAAAAACAAAACAAACAAAACAGCAATTAAAAACAATTAAAACTTAATCCAAAACAAACAAAACAGCAATTAAAAACAATTAAAACTTAATCAAAACAAACAAAACAGCAATTAAAAACAATTAAAACTTAATCCAAAACAAACAAAAAGACTTTCCAACTTGCATGCAAAAAAACAGTAAAGACCCACCCCCCCAACTCAATGCGTTTTGTGGCGAAGTCCGACGGCTGCAGTTTTTGGGCCAATTCGGACTCAGTCGAATTTTCGGAATTTTGCAACTGGGGCCCCCCGGGGGCCCCCGGGGCCCCCCCGGGGGCCCCCCCGGGGGCCCCCGGGGGCCCCGGGGCCTCGTCCAACTGCAAGTCTGCCTTATTAATGTCTATAACTGAGTACCCTTTGAATTGGTTTACTGCCAAAGAGGCCAAAAAGAACTCATCTAAAGGCTCAACTCCAAACAAAACTTCAAACCCTCGAGCCCTCAAACCCTCCAAAGCCGGGCTGTCCTCTGCAGCCTTTCGGCTTTCTGCTGCCAAGTAATATATCGCCCTTTGCCTCCTGGGGGGCCCCTGGGGGCCCCCCTGGGGGCCCCCCCACCCCTGGGGGCCCCCCTGGGGGCCCCCCTCGGCGCCCGCGCTCTGGGGGGCCCCCTGGGGGGCCCCCTGGGGGGCCCCCGGGGGCCCCGGGTAGTTGCCGGACTCTATTAAACGGTTGCGGGCCTCCATTCTGGAAATGTAATCATCTAAAGTTGTTAAAGAAGTTTTGGAATGAGAAGAATGGAGTTGGACTAAAGAGGCGAGGGCCTCTTGCTGGTCTCTGTCTTCCACAGCCCCAATCTGCAGCGCAGCAGCAGCAGCAGCAGCAGCAGCAGCAGCAAGTGCGCGAAAAGAGCGGCGTTTTCGCACGAAAAGGGGTGCACAGCAGCAGCAGCGCAGCAGCACACTGCTGCTGCTGCTGCTGCTGCTGTGGGGCCCCACAACTGCAGCAAATTGGCAAAATGCATTCTCCTTGTCTCAGACAAATGGCCAAGATCGCACAGGCTGGCCCGGCTCCCGCGTGGGTTCGGGTGTACGCGGGACAACGGGGGCCTCGACTGACACGCGGCGATCATCACTGACAAGGAGCAGCAAATTGAATTAAAACAGAATTGAAATTAATTAAATTAAAATAAATAAATGTAAATAAATATAAATAAATATAAATATAAATAAATATAATTAAATACATGCAGAGACTGTCAGAAAGTGTTAATCGATTCCGTAGTCGCGCTGTCCTCAGCAGACAGGCTTCAGTAGAGGGAGCGAAATCATCACTCGAGGGAGAAAAGAGTTGCAAAAAGGAATAAATGAAATAAAAAAGAAGAAATAAATGAAATTAAATAAAAGTAATTCAAAAACATTCAAAAAGACGAAAAGAGACCAAAGAAAACACAGAGAAAGCGGCTTCAGTCGGTAATTCCAGCAAAAGATGTTCTCCGCATTTTCTCCGGAGGAGCTCAGGAGCCATGAATCATCCTTTTGCAATTCAAAACCGAAATTGAGAAGAACAAACAATTTCAAATTCAAAAAAGAAGAACAAAAAGCCCTAATATGCAATTTTAGAAGAAAAAGAAGAGAAAAACAGCTCGATGTGCAGAAGCAAAGAGAAGCACCGCTGAGGGAAAGCTGCAGCGATGGCGCCCCATCTGCCCACCAAAACGCGGCATTTTGCGCAAAATAAACGAAAAACTTGAAAAGAATTTAATTAGAATTGGACAAAAGAAGAAATTTGCGAAAATAAAAGCGAAAAGGCGAAAGTTGAAAAGTTGAATCGCGCGCGGGCGCTGCGGTGTCTGTACACCCCGTACCTTGAGGTACTTGCCGTAGTTCTCCCAAAACCTCTCCCACTTTTCTTTTCCTTGTCTTTTAATTGCTTGGATCATTTCGACAGCTTTTGCTGCCACTCTTTTGTGAACTATTCGCAGCATTTGCGACTTCTGCAAAAGTTCCCTTCCCACGTTCAGCGGCAGGTCGTCCGAGTCCACAACTCCCCGAATGAAAGTCAACCACCTGAAACACAAACCCTAAACCCTAAACCCTAAACCCTAAACCCTAGGCGCTGAACCCTTTTCAGGGAATAGCGCAGGCGGACCACCACCTACTGGGCAATCAACCCCCTCAGCAGCAAAGCTACCATCTGCAACAAGCAGCAGCAGCAGCAGCAGCAGCAGCAGCAGCAGCAGCAGCAGCAGCAGCAAATGAACTTGCCTTGGGACGGCCTCTTGGAACTTGTCGTTGATGAAGACGCGGCGGACGTACAGTCGAATCCCCCGCGAGTCCTCATCTGCGCAAACCCCCAAACCCTAAACCCTAAACCCTGCTAAACCCTAAACCCTGCTAAACCCTAAACCCTGCTAAACCCTAAACCCCAAACCCTGCCAAACCCTAAACCCTCGAAACCGCGCCTCCCGCGCAAGCCCTGGAGCCTCGAGCTCCCGCGCCCCCCAAACCCTCGCGAGGCAAACCCCAGCCCCCACTCCAAACCCTAAACCCTAAACCCTAAACCCTAAACCCACCAAACATGTTGCGGGAAAGCTCCCACGGCAAAGAGCCCGGGACGTACAGCAGCGCTCTGAAGGAGACTTGGCCCTCCACGGCCATGTGCAGAAAAGCCAGCGGGTCATCATAGGCCTAATAAATAAATAAATGAATAAATAAATAAATAAATAAATAAATAAATAAAAATTAATTAATTGATTAATTAATAATAAATAATAAATTAATTATTTATTTTAAATGGAACTGCTGCTGAAAAGAGCGCAAAAATACACGCACGCCGATGCCTTCAGCGCGCACAAAGGACAGCAGCAGCAGCAGCAGCAGCAGCAGCACCAACAGCAGCAGCAGCAGCACAAACAAGCAGCAACAGCAGCACCCAGCAGCAACACCAAATAGCAGCATCAGCAGCACCAATAGCAGCAACAGCAGCACCAACAGCAGCAGCACCAACAACAGCAGCACCAACAACAGCAGCACCAATAGCAGCAGCACCAACAGCAGCAGCAGCAGCAGCACCAACAGCAGCAGCAGCAGCACCAACAGCAGCAGCAGCAGCAGCAGCAGCAGCAGCAGACCTTGAAGGTGGTTTTGTAGAAGTCGACATAATCTTTTTCCTTCAAAGTTGCTTCTGGTCTTCTCCAAATTGGGGGCTGCGTGTTGAGATGAATCCACTCTTGGAATCTGTGGGTGACCGTTTTGAACTTTGCTGCTGCTGCTGCTGCTGCTGCATCTGCTGCTGCTGCTGCATCTGCTGCTGCTGCTGCTGCTGCTGCAGTGTCCCGCACGCGCTCGTACTCCACGCGCTCCGACAGCAAATAAATCGGCACTTGGAGAAACTCCGAAAACTTCTTCAAAAGTTCTTTAAGTCTGTAGTCTTCTAAATAGTCATCTGAGTCTTCTCTGAGGTGCAGCACGACTCTGCTGCCAGTCCACAGCTGCTGCTGCTGCTGCTGCTGCTGCTGCTGCTGCTGGGGGGCGGCGGCAGCAGCGGCGCGCTTCGCCTGCTGCTGCTGCAGCGACTGCTGCAGCTGCTGCTGCTGCTGCTGCCACCGCTGCTGCTCTGCTGCTGCAGCAAGCTGCTCCACCGTGAAGGTCTGCCCGCAGCTCGAGCTCCACTTCCACACCTCGGGAAGCCCCTCTGCTGCTGCTGCTGCTGCTGCACCGTCTGCTGCTGCTGCTGCTGCTGCAGCAGCAGCAGCAGGAGTCCATCTTGAAGAAATGACCTCCACTTTGTCAGCAACAAGAAAGGCAGAGTAGAAGCCAACGCCGAACTGGCCAATGAGGTCGCTGGCGCTCTGCGGCGCGCAGCCAGCTGCGAGCTGCTGCTGCAGCAGCTGCTGCTGCTGCTGCTGCTGCTGCTGCAGCTGCTGCGCAAACCTGTAAGTCCCCGACTGCGCTATTGTCCCCAAGTGGTCTATCAGCTCCTGTCGAGACATTCCAATGCCATCATCTTCTACAGTCAAAGTCCCCTTGCTTTTGTCTGCGTAGACCCTTATGGCCCCCCGCCACTGCTGCTGCTGCTGCTGCTGCTGCTGCTGCTGCTGCTGCTGCTGCTGCTCGAGCAGCACGCGCTTCTTGTCGCAGGCGTCTGCAGCATTTGAAATTAACTCGCGCAGGAAAACGTCTCTGTCGGTGTACAGACTGTGCACTATGATGTCCAGCACCCGCTTCACTTCCGCCTGAAACGGAAAACGTTCTGCTGCTGCTGCTGCTGCTGCTGCTGCTGCTGGGGGTGCTGCTGCTGCTGCTGCAGCGGGGGGTGCTGCTGCAGCTGCGGGTGCTGCTGGCGCTGCGGCTGGAACGGACGCTGCGGGGGCCGCAGCAGCAGCAGCAGCAGGGGCTGCTGCATCAGCAGCAGCAGCGGGGGCCCACGACCGCGCGCTGCAGCTGCGGTCCCATTTGCTGCTGCTGCTGCTGCTGCTGCTCCTGCAAGTGGCAGGCAGCAGCGCGCAACCCCTTGAAGCGAGGGGCCCCGGGCCTCTAAATGAAACGGAAAATTCTAAAAAGGAAAAAAAAAGAAAAACTGAAAAGACACAAAACTGGCAGCGCAGCTTCATCCTGAAGCTTCCGGCCTGCCCGGAGCAGCAGCAGCAGCAGCAGCAGCAGCAGCAGCTGCGAGGGCTGCTGCTGCAGCAGCAGATGCTGCCTCACAGCAGCGCTGTGCTAAAAACCATTAAAAAGCAGCGGGAGCAGCAGCACTGGAAAGATGTGCTGCTGCGGGTGTTGCTGCTGCTGCTGCTGCTGCTGCTGCTCTCCCTCGTGTGTGGGGCAGCGCCCCGGCCTGTCTCGCGCTGCTGCTGCTGCTGCAGCTCCAGGCGGAAGAAGCAAAAGGCTCGCTGCTTTGTTGCAGTTAAAAAGATATTTGCTGCTGCTGCTGCTGCAGGCAGGAGCAAAAGAATAAAAGTGCTGCAGACTGATGCTGCTGCTGTGGCAGCAAGGCCTCGTGGCCCCGCAGCAGCGGGGCGGCGCTGCTGTGGCTGCGGCTGCAGCTGCTGTTGACCGCAGCAGCAGCTGCTGCTGCTGCTGCAGCTGCTGCTGCATTTGGCGTGGTTGCTCTAGGTGGTGGTTCTATAGGAGGTGAAAAGTGGGAGCTGCTAAGGGTTTAGGGTTTATAGTTTAGGGTTTACCGTCCCGTGTTTGCGGCGCAGCAGCAGCAGCAGCAGCAGCAGCAGCAGCAGCAGCAGCACCAACAGCAGAGCAGCACCACCAACTACACCGGACCTCCATCACAATGCCTAAAAATAAAGGTCTGTCTTTCTGTTTTTTTTCTGCAAACAGCAAACAGCGAAGGAGCAGCGAGAGTCAGTGCTGCAGCAGCAGCAGCAGCAGCAGCAGCAGCGGCTGCTGTAGGGGCTCTCGCTGCTGCAGCAGCAGCAGCAGACTAGGGCTTGAAGAGCATGCGCACAGCTGCGCGTCCGCCGCAGCAGCAGCAGCTGCTGCTGCTGCTGCGGCGGCGGTGTGCAGCAGCAGCAGCATGCATGCCGCAGCAGCAGCAAGCGCAGCAGCTGGTGCGGTGGTCGGGAAGCAGCGGGTTTAGGGTTTAGGGTTTAGGGTTTAGGGTTTGGGTGGCGGCTGCTGTTGTCAGGAAAGGGCGGGAAAAACCGCAGAAGGGGGAAGAACGACAACGAGGGCGAAAAGAGAGAACTCCAGTTCAAAGAGGACGGCCAAGGTAAGCTGCTGCTGCTGCTGCTGCTGCTGCTGCTGCTGCTGCTGCTGCTGCTGCAGCAGCAGTTGCTGCACCTCTCGCTGGTGCCCCCCTACCCCCTTCCCCGCCTTCTCTCCGCAGCGCCTGCCTGCTGCATTTCCCCCCCCTCGGC